CAACCCAATCAATTTTGAGTACTCTAATCCTTCAATAAATTCAATTTGTGGGATAAGCGTAAGGTATCAGCAAAAAATCTGTAACTCGGAAAATTTTAGAGATAAATCAATGAATAAAAAAACAAAATGCTCACAAAAGAAGCCCCTTTCGTATAGGGTGTAGCACTTTCTATGCCATTACTCAATTTACACACAGGGTGAGTTAAAAATTAATAATAAATCATGGTTCGAGTTATTCCGCCACTATCAAGGAGGCTTTGAAAAAATTGTCACCTCCTTATTTTTTTTTTCAAAGACAAATGCATTACCAACCAACAAATAAAAAAAAATAAAAATCGGCCTACTATTTTTTTTAAGAAGATAGGTCAAATATCAAGTGCGTCACTTTTTTTGGAACTGAGTGTAGTTATTTATGTACCAAGGTCGAAACACTGTCTATCATAGTCAAGTCTGCAAATGGATTGCCGAGACTAGCAATCAGGTGAGATAATAGACAGTTTTTCGCCGAGGTGCATATTAAATTTTTTCGTTGACCTCAAACACTTATATTCACATCATGGTCCTGCCCATACGTGAAATCTATCGGATTTCGTGAATAATTAATTTGGCAACAGCAAATGATAGTTGTTGTCAACTCACTCTCTGCGCGGACCAGTGTTGCCAGTTCTATTTTTATTCCATCAGTAAATACCTTGTCGACAATTCAGTAGATTTCAATAGATCTATTTAAGATCGATTTTATGCTATACAAATTCCAAGAAGATTCTCGTAAAAAAATAATCATATTCCTGATTCTCAAATCAAAAATCCTGACAAATATCACAAAAAACAGTTTCATAGGTACTTTCGAGTAGTGAAAATTAACAACAGAAATACAAAACAAATAAAAAATTGAACAAAAGGAACAAACTGTAATTACAGAGGTATATAAAAAATTGAATTTGCTCTGAATCAGATAAGTATCGTCCTTTTTTGGTTTATATTAATACCTATATGTTCTTTCATTACTTATTTTGTAAAATTGATTTAAACAGAGCGTACCAAAATATGTGAAATAAATATCAACTTATTTTGCTCCCTATGAAATTATATGCAAAAAGGAAAAAAGTATGGTTGTAGAAAGATTATGGTACCTAATCAACTCGTGGAGTAAAATGTTTGCAACACTCATTATGTAATATACTATTTTGATTTCAATTCAGTTTCACTAAGCCATTCACTGAGAGTACTATACTTACGTTTACAGATGACTGTGCAGGATCCAGCATCACCTAGAACGAAAAACAGGGTGTTGAGAAATGTTTTATTGTAAGGTCATCGAAAAATTACAAACAAAATGAATGAATTGTTTTCGCAAGATATTCAACTTTTGAGTTTGTCTAAAACTTTTGCAACTGATTTGTTTTCAGAATAAGATATCACTGTCTATCATTGAATTTTTCCTTTTTCTGATTTGTCGAAACGAGAAGAGAGAAGTTAACAGAATACATGGTGTGTCTAAATGATTCCTTGTGATATTCTAGCAAATAAAGTTCATATGAACAAATGTCTTAACTTGCTCCGTTTTCGAAATACAGGATGTTGAAGTTGGAAGTATTAATTGTTTTTATTTCCAATCCCCCTGTATACGCTTTCATGGTCCCATAATTGAGTATGGCTGGAGACTGCAAAAGCCCCAAAATTTCAGAATGATTCTAATTGGGGTTATATAACAACCTAACAAAACCACAACGTTTTATTGAAATTGATGAAAAGACATTTATTCATTCATCAATAATGAACAAAAAACGATCTTTCATGGAAATATTAACACCCTGTATCTCGAAAACGAAGCACGTTAGGCCACATGTTCATATGAACTTGATTTCCTGAAATATCACAAGGAATCAGCCCTGGAATTTATTTGGTGTTATTTAGATACACCCTGTATATGTTGCTTTTATCTACAAGAATGAATGTGCTTATTCCCAGTATGAAAAGAGTAGTATCAAGGTTGGCCCAAATGGAAACAATTTAGAAAGAACAGAATTGAAAAAGAAGGCGAGAATCAACCAAGAAGAGATATTTTGTAGTCTATAATAATCAATGGAATCAATCAATCGATAATCTTTGATATTCCCAAGTTACAACATTAAAAAGCCTGAAAGAAAAAAATTCAATGATAGTCAGTGACACCCTATTTTTGAAAAAATGAAATATTCTGAATGATTCTGGATGAATGAAATCAGAACTGGAAATACTGGAATAAGAACTTACCCGTTGGTGCCATCGCAGCTAAAATCGCTAAACAGCACGTGATCGTTGTGCCTGGTCCCATTCTGATGTTTGCTAGCTTTTTACCTACTTAGCTAGCGATGTTCAACTGACATACAAATAATTTTCCGGGCACTTTTATATCAGCCACAAACGATTCGGAATGTCCGATTACGATTCTCCAGTATTTTTCGAATAGTTGAGTGGCATTCTCAGCATACAGGGGGAAGCGCCAGATAAGTAGGCTTGATAATAATGGGCGTGTACACCTCAGTAGAACTTTTAACTCAATAAACCATGTTTATAATGATCATTTTATACATAAATAATGATTGACGTCATAATTCGATCGAAAAATTAACTGGAGTGTTTCATTTTTGGACATAAATAATAGTACCTCCTGAAAACGGACCCTCTTATGACGTAGAAACCTCATCTCGCCATAGTTAAAAGAAAATACCAAAAGGCCGACGGAGATTGAGGCAACTGATATATTAATTCTTTCAACTGTGATCTCGCGCTAATTCACTCTGTCAGAAATTATGTATCTGTCTGGAATAGTCTTGTTTCAGTATTAGGGTTTTGACGTCACATCATCGCCTCGTTTTCAGAGGTCCGAAAAATAGGGGATTTCAATAATTTTTTATAAAACGTAGGGAGCTCACAGCAAGAAACGATTTGCGGTGGTGAGCTAGTTTGGCTGAGTTCTATCGAATTATGAAATGAAATTTTTTGTGATATACACCCATTGTTTTCCACATTCAATTGAAGGCTATTAGATGGAAAATTTCAAATTCGTTCCCGAAAAGACGAATTATATGAGAAGGATCATTTGACTATAATGTGACCTGGTTGTAGTTACAAAATACTGTTCCCATATTTGGCGAGTGCAGCTCCCAAACATACCCTGAAACTGTTGGATTCTGTCCAAAAAAGGGCAATTCGTCTCGTCCCTAACAACACGAGTACATCCTAGGGACTTCCCAGGGACGTCCCTAATTTCAAATAAGGACATCCCAGGGATATCTTTTCTGGGACAAAGTACATACTTGGGACGTCCCAGGGACATCCGCTTTCAGACAAAAAGGACATCCATGGGATGTCCCTCCTGGTACGTCCCTGGGATGTACCGAGTACAAAGAAGGGATATCCCTAGGACGTCCTAAGGATATCCCAGGGACATCCCTTCGACAAAAGAAAAAAAAATGTAGGTCTAGTTGGGATTGAACCCGGGACCTTCAGCTTATCAGGCACGCACCTTACTCCATTGGCCAATATGCCTTCTGAAGATTCATGTATTGAACAGATTTATAAACAGGACAACTACAGAAACCTGGATAAATAAAACTGTAAGGATTCGGGTATAATTATTATCATTCTTGGGTGTTTGAAAATGAGGGGCATTATGCATTTACGATCTCTGTTTGCGAAAAATGGTCATTTCTTGAGAAGTTTTGAGACTATATTCTTTATTTTCATCACAATTATTTTCCGGAAGAAATACATTTTCGAAAAAATTCGACTCAATATTTTGATGATATTGAATGACTCTCTGATGTGAAGAATGGATATCAGATATTCCAGGGACACGAATGGGATAACCTAAGGATGTACCGGGTGGGATGTCCACTGGACAACTACTGGCGGGACATCCCCTGGATGTCCCAATCATTTCCTTGTACCGCGGGACATAAAAGGGACGCACCTAGGACATCCCTGTGTTGTTAGGGGTGGGTGATGCCTCGCTCACAAACTCACTCATTTCTCTGGAACACCGTAGAAAAGCTGGCGATCTGGCTCTATTTTATAGATATTTTCATAGACGATGCTCTTCTGAAATATCGACAATTGTTCCTCCCTTGGCAGTCCCCGCGAGATTAACACGTCGAGTTGAGGCTTCGCACCCCTTCGTGGTCACTTTGAAGACCTGCAGAACATCTCATTCCAAAGACTCGTTCATTCAACGAGCAGCGAGGCTCTGGAACACATTGCCAAGGAAGGTGTTCCCCGAGGCATATAACCTCCAGAAATTCAAGAAGAACTAACACAAATTCCTACCTTATTTCCCTTGGTTCTCACGATGTTCTCTGAACATTACGTGGGAACCAGAACATAACAAAAGGGACAGAAATGCAAGATTTTTTCCAGGGTGCGATTTGTAGCTCGAGGGCTCAATTCGATATTCGATTGCATTTTTAGATTTTCCCTGAAGGGCTGATACAATCGATATATCACACTTGGGGTCTATCAGAAATGGTTACAGAGATATAGGGTGTTCAAAATCGAGATTTTTCAGCTTTAGGATTTGTTTGTGTCGAAACTATTCATTATTGGCCAAAACGACTTACATGTCCCTATCTCAACTTTTGATTTACTTTTTACTGATATTAAATCGGAACAGATACAGGGTGATCAGAATTCTGAATCTTGAAGCATCCCTAGGTACGCACGATTATAATAGGTAGAATATAATAGGTATTCTCTTTCGTGCCTTCCAAGAGATGAAGAAAAACTTTTTGTGTTCAGGATTCAATTCGATTCGCAGCGAAACATAACAGACTGAAGAATTGTCAAAGAAATTGCAGAAATGTAACCAAACAATCAATATCTTCGAAAATCAGGTTTTACAGAGGCCGATTTTCGAAGAATATTTTTTTTCATTTAGTACTTCGAAAGGTCTACTATATCCTGGTATGCTATTTCATTAAATTCCATAGCATCACAAATATGGACTGAAAAATGACCAAAGCATAATATATGGTATATTTTCAAGAGAGAAAAATACATCGGTTTGAGGTTGATATTGTTATCTGGAAAGCTAAACAAACATCATATTTTATGTCATTTCTGTCCTCAGTTATTTCTTCAATATGCATAACAATGTTTATGAAAACAACATGAATTACATGAATTTGAATGTTATCATAATAGATTGCTGTAGCGAATTAACAGAATATCTGCATAGATGGCCCAATAGTTGGAATTCCTTATGTCATTGGTATTGAATGAATAACATTCTGAAGAACGTTAAAGTTCCCAACAGTAATTATACTGAGGTAGTGGTAATTTTTTGATAATTTTCTCGATAGCAACAAAAAAGAGTGCTAATCTAGTTGAAAATTATCAAAATTTTATCACGAATGTTATTCGCAAAATATATTGTGGGAATATACAACTGTTGGCTTGAATGAGAATCCATTCAATGTGGGCATATTGGAAATAATATACTGAATGTGGGCTTGATGAGAATCTATACAATTTTTGTTGACGATAGCATGATCCTACTTGTTCATTTATGTATCCCCTTGTTTTTTTGTCGTCTTCGTCTTTTGCAGTCAGTAAGTGGTCTTACTATAAAGTAATAGAAGATTTCGACAAAACTCAATAGACTCGCACCAAGGAAGAGGGATGTAGCTCCACCCATAGACACTGAAAAAAAAAATACAATTGAAAATATTTGAAAAAGTATTAATTTTTTATACAGTGTGTTACAATTTGGTCCACCCCACCCCTGTACTTCCGTATTCCTAGGGCGATTTGTAATTTTTTCCCCACAGTATACTACTCAAAATTATCTACTTTTTCGAGCAAACAAAATTCATCAATTACAATTTCTTATCCTACGGCGATCACAAAAAGTCCAGCAAAATTGAAGAAGACTAGTCACAAATACTCTTGTATCAATTTTCAAAACAATATCTCATACGGGGTGTTTTTTACCAACGTTACAATTTTTGAATAATTGCACTTTTCAAGTCACCGTGTATAATAATTTTTAGAATTTGAATGATATCAGGCATGATGGTAGTCAGGATTAGAACATCTGGCTACAGAGTGAGATAAATAACTAATAAAATCACTGAAAATTAAGATTTTTTTCATCAGGAAATGAATAGAAACCAAATGATACCTATTAAATAGTAACATCAAAAATTAGACAAAGTACAAAACAGTAATCATTTCCAACAAGTTCAAATTTTTGTATTCTCTTCATGTCCCTTTCGTACATTATTTTCAACTCTTCTTCAAGGTTTACCAATTGAGGAAAAAAAAAATAGGGAAGAGTGAATTGAGGAGAGTTGAAAATGACGTACGAAAGGGATATGAAAAGTGGGTATAGAGAATGGAGATTTGATCGAGAATAAAAAAAATTGAACTTGTTAGGAATAATTGCTGTTTCGTTCTTTGTCTAATTTCTGATGTAATTTTTTGATAGGTATCATTTGGTTTCTATTTATTTCTTGATAGAAAAATCTCAATATTCAGAGATTTTATCATTAATTCATTTCACTCTGTAGCCAAATGTTTCAATCCTAACTACCATCATGCCTGATATATCATTCAAATTCTGAGAATCATTATACACGGTGACTTGAAAAGTACAATTATTCAAAAATTGTAACGTTGATAAAAAACACCCCGTATGAGATATTGTTTTGAAAATTGATATAAGAGTATTTGTGACTAGTATGAATCGATTGCCTACATCAAAATTTTTGTGGAAAAATGCCTAATCCGTTTCCTTCAATTTTGCTGGAATTTTTGTGATCGCCGTAGGCTAAGATATTGTGATTGATGAATTTTGTTTGCTCGAAAAAGTAGATAATTTTGAGTAGTATACTGTAAAACAAATTTCCTAGGAATACGGAAGTACAGGGGCGGGGTGGACCAAATTGTAACACACTGTATATAAATCAATCAACGCCAAATTATAATTATAATCAGCTTATTCTTACCTACTAAATCAAGCTTGCCCCTAACTACATTTCTCTTGAATCTCTCAGTCGGCAGTCTCTCCAAAGACAACTTAACTATGGCATAGTCTTCCACTATCCTGTTGAGACAATAATCATCAGCATAATCACTAATTTCACCAATATACTGCTTCTCCTCCACCATAGTCACGTTATAGGTTGATTAATAATGGTGAATTAATTGTCGACCGAAATAAAAGCAACAGGAAAAGCAGATTAATCTGTGAGTTTGACACTCATTTTTGGGGTTTGTTTCAAATTTCCATTCGCATTGAAATAAAAAATGGAATATTCGAAACGTTATCTTCGATTTCGTATAGGATGACAGGTATTTTACCTGATGCTTCACTTTTTCTGCTGCTAGATAACATTAACTTCAGTAAGGGGTGCGAGGTACAAAAAAAAGAAGTGGAAAATGTAAGGTTAGTATGAGCATCAATAATAATAATAATAGCGATTATTTGTTTATCTCCATATTTCACTGTGTTTGGTTCAGTAATCAAATGAAGGTGAACAATATCGTTTTGTGAGACAAAAAGGTATTGCTGGCCGTGATTATTCAAAAACAAGGTATCCAATCAATCATATCCCGAGAATAGCGAATGAACTGATCTAAAACGAAAATACTCAACTATATATTATATATAAAGTACAACTTTAGCTTCTAGGAACTGAAAGTGTTGCATAGCAAAACACTTATGTTTGTGTCAGTAATAGAAACGTCAATTCAAGAGCTAATTTTGGACTTAATATGTACGACTTTTGGGTTGGTTGCATAAAAAAGAAATTTAGTGATCTCATTTATTATACTCGCCTACTATACCTTTTCCACTTCAATTTCAGAATTGGAAAGTTATATTCCGGAAAAGGAAAACTCGGTTTCAGAAATGGTTAACTCAGTTTCAGAATCGGTGAGTTAAATTTCTGAAAATGTCTATTCAATTTCAGAATTGTTTAGCTCAATTTCAGAAAAAAAAGTTCAACTCGAAATGAATAAGCCTGATTGCACATTCATTATCGTGAAATGAATAAGTCACTGTATGAATCTTAGTTCATAGGCCTATGAGCGTGCATTTAAAATGGGCATCCTAGAAAAGACATACATGGAGGATGAATTTCAAGATGTTATATTTTGCAGATTGGCACCTTTACAGCTATGATGAACCCAATTGAACATATATAGAGTGCCTTCAAGTCAGAAATGGAGAGCTTTTTGCAAGAGCATCGCCAAAGGGTCATACCCGGGGGTCCAAACAGATTGCTCAACTAGATAGAATTCAGACTGCGATGTCTTGAAGAATGTGCAGTCCATTCAATGCGAATGATAACACCTCAAATGTTTTTGTATTCTTATAATCATGTGCAACGCCACTATCCTTCTGCGATTCGGATGGAAGACATGTGACATGTCTGTGGGTTAAATTGAGATTATAATTATGTAATTGAATTGTTTTTGAAAAGTTGAATATTGTAAATATAGTTTGTTAATTTCACATGGAAGTAAAAACATTTAGAACAAATATAAGGATTTAGTTTCTGGAATTGAACCTACCAATAATTCTAAAATGCAACTTACCATTTCTGAAATCGAACTCTCACCAATTCTGAAATTGAGATTACTTTTTCCGAAATATAACTAACCAATTCCGAAATTGGAGTTGAAAAGGAATAGAGCTGTGAGTTTGTTAGTAATTTTTTTTGCTCACCCGTTTTTGTGGTCTCTGGTAACGGACAATTCGAGTTCCGTACAACTGGGCAAACAACCGCATACGAGTCCTGTCCTGTTCGCCCAAGAAGCTTTCAGAACAGATAGTTCATTGAAATTCAGGGTGAGACATTGTAGGCCATCCAGAGTGCAATGTGTTTCAGATGCTGAAACAGAAAATCCGATTTTTTTTTAGTGAAAAAATCGCTCATCTTGAAGATTCTGATGAACAGGATAATGGAACAACACATTGTGAAGTTTTTACATTTATGTTCTTCCTATTTTTGGTCGAAAAATCTGCTACTGAAGTATGCCCCAGCGAGCACAAACATCCCTGGGATGTTTTGGGATGTTTTGAAAATGTTGCCATGAAGATGTTATTTTGAGACGTAATATGCACTGACCAAAGAGGTCTTTGAAGGATATTGAAGTATTGTTTTTGTTCCTCTGTGGCATTTCTTTGTTTGCCTACTGAGAGGTATCCCTGGGATGTTTTGGGATGTTTTAGAAATGTAGGCATGAGGATGTTTTTTGAGTCGTAATATGCACTTCCCAAAGAGGTCTTAGAAGGATATTGAAAGTATTGTTTTTATTCTTTTGTGTCCTTTCTTTGTTTGCCCCACCTCAACGTCTCATGCTTACGTCACAATACGATGAATTCTGATTTGTTTTTGATTTTGTTCTTCTTGTTCGCAATTGGCATTCGCGTTTGCAGCGTGTCACGCTTACATCACGCTGCTAACGAACAGAAAGGAATTTGGCGAAGTTTATTGTGTTAGAAGACTTATTCAATTTGTAATAATGACCATCAGATGCAAGATGTGTTGTTTGGTGCCTCAGTGTAATCAATATATAAAAGTACGAATTCATCAATACACAGCTTCTCCGCAGTTGCAAAATCATGCATTGTGGAGAACATTTCAAAAATTGGGAAACCTATTTCCGATGATATGTCTGTGTGTAGTAAGCACTACTCAGAAACCGATTTCATATCAAGAAAATATTTTTATGTTCAATCTATTTTTAATGCATTTTTTCATTCAAGGGAAATTGAATTCTAATGCAAAAGTTCATTTTGACAAAAGGCTTCAGAAAAGTACCTGGAAAATGTTTTTTTTACAGCGATTTAATGTGCGCAAGACGCGTTGAAAATGTTCTGTTGTGTCCATGAAAAGGCTTTAAAAAGAACTAGGGAGAAGGTAGTTTCGATTGTGACATATCAAGGGCATCTCGATAATTGCCGCCTGTGGCGGACATTGGCTGTTCTATAATAGTTCTATTCATGTGTGAACAGAACATCGCAGTGGAGGTTCAATGTCTCGAAATCTCGTACTTTTAACATCTCTGAGATGTTTTTGTGCTCGCTGGGTGGCAGGCTGATTCTGGGACACCCTGTATATTATATAATATGAAAACATACTGGTATTCGGAAGGAGATGGTGAACGCAGCCGCATTTTTTGAATTGGGCTTCTTTGCGACATTGAACACAACAAGCGCTGTAGCTGTAGTATCTAAATACGTCCAAGTCAGATTCCTCTGGAAAACGGCATTTTCTTTGCTCCACACTCACATATTTGACCTGTAAATGAAACAGAAATGCTCGGTTGAAATTCCTGATATCAAGTTGGACTTTCTGAAATGAAACAAGTTTTTTCAGCAAATTAAGTTTATTTTTCTACTCACATAACTAAAATGGCATTTAGCGTACGGATATGTACCACGCTAAATGATCGATTAATCACGGATTGTCGATCTGTGATTTATTCAAAATATTAAACACCTTACCATGGCAACACGATTTCTTAAACACATTACCATGGCAACGCAGTTCATTAAACACAGCTTCAGTAATTTGAGACATGTCTGGCCTGTCAATTGAATCAACTGTCAACTGTTATTTTCGAATTTTGTATCAGAATTATTCAAAACAATATTCGTTTGTATCAGAATTCTCCATTAAAAATATATGCGAAAAGTAGACGAAAGTGAAATCGAAGAGAATGTTCTGGTACTTGCATATCTCCAAGAAGTGTAAAAATGAAGCATCCATCTCTGAGAACAAATTATTTATTCTGCGCTGAGCATGACAAAAAACGTGAAACAAAGGTTGGTGAGCAATGGACTGGACACATCTACAACCAATATCACTTATACGTGTCTCGCTGGTTGCATGCAGTTGCATGTATTATGTTCTCAATTCCCATGCCTTTCGAATTATTTTGTAGGTTAGCAGGAATTGCATTGCAGGTATGTTAATGTAATTTTCGGAGTTCGTAGAAAAATCATAGTATGTAACGCGTTTATAAACTCTTCTAGACACTCGTTTATTAAACACTCGCTCCGCTCTGCTCTGCTCGTGCTTAAACTACTCGTTACTAAAAGGACGTTTATAACACTTGTTACATAATATACTATTAAACACTCTGTTTTGTTCCAAAATGTCACTGTAACCTAATCTAGTAGGTAGGAATTTTACATTAACTAACCTCTGGTTGGTTTTCGATTTCCTTGATAGCCAAAAACCTTTGATAACCAATGTGTGGGGCAATTTGAAGAATGTCCGATGCTAAACTCGTTAAAGAAGGTACCTCTTCTGCGCCAAAAGTGTATACCTGGAAAAATGAATCCTGCTCTACTGGAATATCAGCAATTGAAGACTATAGCTATACACGGCAAAAACGCTGAGAGCCCATTTTTCTCCATTAATAATTTAGATATTACTATCAAAAGAATGCGAGTAAAAATCAAAATCGAATGCCTTGGGCTGCCTTACAATATCGCTGGGATAGTCTGTTCAGTAATCGGGTAGTTTCACCTGAAAAAAATTAGAGGAATGAAAAAAAATTGGTGCGTCTGGTAGGTTTTGACATTCTGAATAACGACTCACCTTTAAAAAAAGAATAAACAGCTCAAAATTGTAGTTTTTTGAGATCATATAGAAAAGTATGCATATAAAGTAAAATATGAAGAAATAACAAAATATATAAAACTACATTTCTTATCATTTATATTTTTTTCTGTAAAGTTATCAGTAAACGCGTCAGGAAGAACGAATCAGATACATCGTCTTCCACTTCATCTGAAGATGTTTTGGATGTTTCTTTGGAGCCACGTTCATTGTCGTTATCTAATATTCTAATCATTTCGTCTATCACATCAGCAGAGGAACAAAACATCATCTTGGTCGCTGTTACATGTAACCTTATGTGGATCCAACTTATTCACAAGAACATAATGTATCGATTGTCCGTGAGACGAGTTCAAAGTTTACATACAAAACAACATTTTTTCTGTGACGGGAAAAAAGTTTGGCATTTCATCTCTGTTGGCAGGTTATAAAATGTCACTTTTCATAAATTACTTTTTTCCCGTGGGAAAAAAGTGAGTACTTTTTTCCCGGATATATATTACATATACATACTCTGTTAATGGCTTTTGTTGTGCTATAGTTCCGAAAAATGAGTCAATAATACCGTCTCCGAGAAAGAACTGCAAGTCCTTTTATCTTCCATTCGACTTCGCGGTTTCGTATATTACTAAACAACTACTGAATTCGCAATTTTTCAAAATCAAATCACAGAATTGAACTGACAGAAGTGACATCAGATATTTGATTACTTCAAAAGAATGATAAAGATGTCTATAAAACGCAGGTGTCCCTACTGTTGAAAACTTGAAATTTCACGTGGATAATTTTCATATTTCGAAATAATGTAATATCTTCTCAATATTGATTCGTCCTTCCTTCTGTCACAGAAAAAAATAGTGTATTATACACGGGAAAAATATTAGATTTTAGCTCACGGTTTTTTGTCTCCCTCCGCTACGCGTCGGGAGACAACACAACCTGGAGCTAAAATCTACGAATTTTTTCCCTTGTATAATAAATAACTATTTTGTACGCTATTCATTAGCTTTGGACGTTTCAGGAACGAATCTGATCCCGTTCTCAACATAAAAATGGAAAATATTCTTCTTCGATTCTGTTTTAGTTTGACACTTCTCAGTGACATTCTGATGTTGGCATATGGATGAGTGATGATGTTGGTGTACAAATGAGTCACAGGATGTTCTCATTATATGAAACTAGGTATTCACTTTCTTGTGTTATCTTTTTTATACTGTTATCTTGATCAAATATTGGAACCAAAAAAAACTTTGACAGATCATAGCAGTCTATTTCATATAGCAAAAAACTTCGATTTAAAATTTGTATCGTATGATTTCCGAATATATATTGAAATTCGTTCTCTATAGCAAAAGAAGTGAAAAGGGACTTTCATCGTTCTTGCCTTGTTGTCTTCAACTATCATCTAGCAAGCTTATTTCTAGCTCGTGAATTGTTCGAGTCTTACGTTTGAGAAACCTTTCAGTTCCATGTACAGAGATCCTGGTCCAGTATTCTTATTCGAAACCATTTTGTATTTGGGAGGAAACCTTTCTCTACAAAAAAAAAATGTCAAAAGCGATATAACAGTCGAAACATACACTATGTCAATGGAGTACAACCTTCCATAGTTGACTTTTGAACGGCTGGGAATATTTTTTTGCACCATTGGTAGAGCTAAATTGATTGCAATAAAAATATGTATCTTTTATCCCAACCTCTATCAAATTATTATCCCTGTACAGGGTAGACCGATTTTGTTCCAAGATACTGCATTGAATTTTAGGACAGTGTTTAGAAATTCATTCGAACCCTTATTTTTTCTACTCCTGTATATTTTACGTTCAATTTGGAAGCAACATATATTTCAATATACGTTTCGATTTTTCGAAGAAAATAATGAGAATATGAACATTTTTTCAACTGTTCCATAGTGATAAAATAAAATGAAAGCAACATTATGATTTCAGTGAAATGCGTGATAATTTTCAGACATGTTCCGTTATAAGTCACTCACATTGTTTGCATGGAATTGATACCAAAACATTTTCCTAACTCGGTGTTCATTGGTCGAAAATATTTGCAACAATCGAACTCTTCATTCTGCCATGCACATTTCTGGAAAATACTATTGCAAGGTCTGCGTACCTGGAAAATGACAGGTTGTATATTGTTCACGGCTGAAATTGAGATTTTTTTCAATGGCAAGGCATATTTTATTTTTACTATTACATCGAAACTTGAAGTATATAGTGAACATAGTGAACATAGTGAACAAGATATTGTGTATAGTGAATAGTCACTTAAATTTGTATAATAGATAAATTTTCACCTTATCAGAGAAAAAGCTCAAGTTTTGTAATAGACATTGTGGGTTTCTGTGGGGCAGATCTGGTCCACAAGTTTGTAGAGTGAAAAATGTCAATCCTTTGTAATAAACTAGTTCGTTGACCATTTCGTCCAAGTTATAGTCATGTGGATCTCCATAAACTCTGAAAATTTCCATGTAGAAATAAGTTACACAAAGTATTTCAAATTTCATTGAAGTTTGATTATCCTTTTGGAACTAATGTTACGTCATCAAATCATATCGTTCAATGGAGTCCTAAAATGTCAATGAATATATATATAAAGAAATTAAGGAAAAGAAAGATATTTATTTGATACAAGTGAAAAGAAGAGAAATAGAGTTAACAATTGCACTTCATATTGTTTCGAAAATTAACTACCAGTCGAGAAAAAAATTACTTAAGCGATATGTATAATACGGAAATAGTATATTGTTCAACGAGCACGGAATTATAGTGATTTCCTACGAGGATGAAGTTTACAGCATGAACCATAGGCGAATGCTGAAATCATTCCAGTAGGAAATTAGCATTCTGTGCAAGTAATACACTATAATTTTTCTACGGCTATAATAGATAACAGCGGCATTTTCGATTTCCATAAATAACTTTTGAAATCCATTTTAGTGCAATTTCCAATTTCCTCAAATATATCTGCTCCACTCCACCCCATCCAAATATCCCATAAAATAATTGAGATTGAACTAAAGTATAATATATCATTACTAAATTAGGAATATTTGATGAGTTTTTTCGAATGTTTGAACTTAGGAATGAGGCATCTTATTTTCTTAGAGGCATAATCAATATGATGATCCCATTTCAGATTATTGTCCATCATTATACCAAAGTATTCGATACAGTCAGTTTCCTGAATGTCAATTTCTCTATTTATCTTCATAGTGCCAAAATTTGGTTGGGAATTTTCATTGGAAGTAAATGTCATATGATTAACTGCACATTTTCTCGGCGTACTGAATTGAGATATCGCAAAATTGAACTAGAGGTAATTGTCCTAATCACATTTAGGGTTATTACTTATCCGTTACTTTCGCGATGTCTTCTTGATTGTCGGTCTCACAAACGACAACGGCTGGAAACTTGCTATCCCAATCCAGATAGCTGGTCTCCACTACGAAGCTGATGGCGTTGTTCTGGAAATCGTTCCAGGACGAATGGACCAGCAGGCCGGCAGCTATCCAGCCCAGAGTGCAACAAATGATCCAGAAAACTCTGGAAAACAACACCTTCACACGCTCAGGATATGAACTCGAAATATGTTTATTTCGTTTCTTTTCTGGACAATAAAGGAAGCCTTCTATATTCTAAACAACTGAGAAGCTCAGCAATCATGAATGATCGGCAACATTGCTTTCGCCATAGAAGATCAACTGTGGATTTACCTACTCGCCTAAGTTACCCATAGGTATACAGGGTGAGTCATGAGGAACTGTACAAGTGTACATACTTCTACCGTGAATAGAGGCCTTTGACAAGAAAGAGTCTACTTCTCTTCTTTACCAATATATAGGGTGAATTGTGAGATTTGGCATGTTAGCATCTAGCAACTAGATGCGCTACTGCTCAGTGGAATGTGCTTAGATCAGAGCCTATGACAGACGTGTGTGAAGACTGGCTCATACAGTGTTCGGCAGGCAGCCGAATTAAGAGCAAGTGTAATGAAATAATATATTGATTTCCATCGAACTGAAGCATTGAAAATATGAGTCTCACTTCCATTCATGAAATTTATGGGTTGCGAAATATTAATTTCCAAATAAATAGGTACATTTTTTACAGAATTTTCGTGTTTTCATAAAATTTATTGTTTTTTCAAACTGCAGTGAAAGTGTAAGGACAATTTGGTATATCATATTTTTTGAGTTTGTTTGTGACCTTTAGAAATTCCCTTTCACAGTTTACAAAAACGATATACAGGGTGAACTTTTTGCTATGAACTGAATTATCAAAATTTGTCAAGAACGGTCCTGGATAATCCCGGTTCTCAATATTTTTTTAAAAATTTGCCTTAACTTTTGTCGAGCTTTTACTTCGAAATTCTGTTTGTTGTTGGCTTTGTTGTTAGTGATTGTCATTATTTATTACTGTCTTCTTTTCCACTATCGATTCCCCAACTTTATAATTCAAAATTATTAAAATAAAAACCGTTGGTACTAGACAATTTGAATAAGAGTACATTTCATGTAAAATTGAACGGGCTTTCGAATTTTTCACTTGCTTTGATCATCACTGAATTGACGATATGATGTAATTTACCAAGTTAACAGAGTGACATCAGTGTCCTCTATGAGCAATCACAAAATAAGTTCAAAATGCGTATTATTCGTGTCAAAAAACCTGAAACTACAAGATTTTATGTTCATGCTATACAAATTTACAATGTTATTGAGAAATTTCTAAATAGTCTCCACCTATGGAACGCCCTAAACCAGTAACATTTCTATCAGGCATTCTAGGCTAAAAATCTAAATAATTTAGTGTTCACGATCTGTAGTTCAGAGACAATAATAGTATTCGTGTAGAAAAGTACAGGGGCAAGAGCCCTATAAGATGGATTACTCGCTTTCGTCGCAAAATTCATCATTATCAAAATTGTTAGATTCCAACTTTTGGCGAACACGCCGGGACACATCTCGATTGTATTATGAATATTTCATCCAACAGTCGTGGATAAAGTATAGTATTATACTTGTCTATAATGAGCTATTATCCACTCATTACGTACTATTGAATAATAAATTATTAGTTACCTTTCGGTCCAATGTCTACCATCCTCAACAACATATCTGTACCCATGAAAGGAAGAATTGAGTAAATAACTTTTGATAACAGATTCTTTTCTATCTTTTTCAATCATCTCGTTATATCTGAAGTAACTATTCAGTTTTCAGCTTTTATACTACACAGACATTGATATAATCGATACTCACTCTGAGTCGTCATTATTCGATATCATCTTCAATATAATATTCACGTAATTTGGATTCATTCTCTTCGTAAGCACTACACTCATTATATAATATGCCATTAAAATGAAATATTCATGAGTCTATTGTATGATAGATACATTGTATTACAAAGAACGTACAACAATATGAAATTACTACATGACATCGAACCAATAACATTAAAAAGCATTACATATTTTCTTTTGCTAACTGCATCTCTAACGAACAAGTGACATTTCTCTTCAATGAGCTTGCATCCTTATCCGGATCGTCTTCATCTTCCTTCACATTTCCATCTTCCTCTCCCTTTTTACTACAACCCCCAATAACTTCATCCTCACTCGATTCTTCATTACTAAGTTCTACATCACCGAGTCCTTCGTAAGCATAATCATCCACTTCATAATCACTTCTGTCTTCGTCTGCGTCTTCTCTTCTGAGTTCAACACATCCTTCCAGGCAGTCCTCTTCCTTTGTGGAAAAATAACTGTCTCCCCCATCAGAACTAGCATCGCCATAATCATCATCCTCTTCGCCATCTTCATTCGTTGTTGGTTTCTCTTCGTGACCTTCTTGTTCATCGACTTCTTTTTCATCATCATCTTCGGTCTCCATGAATTTGAAGAAGTCATCTTCTTCTCCACTTTCCTCATCTAGAAGCATCCCCATGTCTTCGTAGTGCTTCTTGAAGACGCTGTCTGGTATGTCATCGAGACTTTTATACCTGCTCTTCCGTGGCTCCGGGACACTCTTCTTTTTATCAGTCATCATTTTTTCTTTCATTTCTATCAGTTTCTCCACAACTTCGATTTCTTTTTCGACTGCTGCGTTATAATCTCGTATGACTGCTTCACGGGCTTTCCTGGATCTGTCGTTGAAGTCTGCAAGGTCCTTTGTGAAATCTGCTATTTGCTCCCGCACCTCTGATATTTTGTTGCATGCGATAATGGCGTTTTCCTGTTCAGGAGCATCCTCGAGTATGACATTTTCGCGTGTTTGATCATGGTCTCTTTGGAACACTGGATAGTTCTGCGACATCTTCAACACCTTGTAAACTTGAGGTGGCTTCACATCTCCTTCCTGGATCTCACGACCGTTTTCTGTATAGATGCTCTTGTATGTCGTGCAGCTTATACTCTCAGTGGTGTTCTTTGCATACATTATCACGTCGGTTTCGTCAGCTATATCTTTCGGTGGGGTTACTTCAAATTCCGGTTTGTCTTCTTTCTTGCTCCGGGCGAGCAGTTCGCACATCTCATCCTTCACTTCTTTGTCTTGTTTCTTTCTCTGTATGGGCTTGAGGATTTGGACGTTCTCGCTGGAGATCTGAAGATCCCATTCCATGATTTCTCTGTAGCTTTTGTCGTCTTCGAGAGGATCTTTGGGTCGGGACGTAAGCACCTTTTTGATGTCCTCTTTGGTTTTTAAGTTGCGATCGCTCGGACCGTCGCCTTCTCCTTTCTCAGCGAAGCTTTTGTATCTTGTTTGGTCGCTTTTGTCTAAGAATCTGTAGTATTTGTCTTCTATTCTCTCGAAGGATCCGTCACTCTCATCTCCGCTATCGCTTTCTGCGTTTTTCGTGATCTCATCCTCTTGCAAAATCTCTTGGACGGTGTTCCTCTTGGTTAGTTTTTCGAATTCCTTATCCATGATCTTTTGGATTTCTGCGTTCGTCAGTTTACTTGGATCCTTTAGATCACTGTTAGAGCCACTTGCTTCAGCTTCACTGTCATTTTCATCGGTTTTCTCAGCAGCATTTTTATCGCTTGCATCCACAATTTTATCAGCGTTTGTATTTTTTTTCACTCTCAGTTTGGCCATGTCAGTGTCGTCCAGAAATTCTTCAAATGTCAAAGTTGAATTTGACAGGTCCAATTGCTTCACCGTTTCTATGGCTATTTGCTTGGCTGTCTTTTTTACTCCTATACTTTCTTCATGAAGAGCTTGGTCTGTTTTTTCAGAACTCACATCTTTCGGTTCCAATTCATTCAGTACTTTTTTTACGTCATGTTCATTTATTTGATGTTCTAAGAATTTCTGAGATTCTTCGTTTAAAGTTATCAGGGTATCTGCTTCTAACTGAGCAATATGAATTTCTTCTTTGTCATCTTCAATTGGAGTTATTTCTTCTGATACGATTGAAGATTTTAAATCTGTATCTATTTCTTCAATGGCATTTTCGTTCGACTGATTTTTTTCTTCTATGAAAATCGTGGTTCCAAGTTCCGTATTTCCTTTGTTTATTGCATCAAATACCGATTCGTTTACTATTTCTATGAGTACTTTCTTTTTGAATTCCCTTTCTTCCTGTTTTTCTTCTTTCATTGGTTTTTCGTCTGTTCTTCTGGTCGAAATGGGAACAAGATTGAACATTCTGTTCAAATCATCAGTCATTGATTCAAACTGATGGTCTGCGTCATTTCTAGAATCTGTTACTTGTTTGCAAGGTTTAACATCAAGATGGAGACCGCTGGTACTGGGTTGATCAATTTCCTCTACTAGTTTTTTTTGCGCATGAACTGAAAAAAAAAAGGATTGCATAAATAACAATAATAATAATAATCTTTATTATTCTCAAGAAACATATATGTTTATAGCAGGTGAAATTATGGAAGAGCAACAACTGAAAAATAAATAAAATAAAATTAGATAATCAGATAATCATTTTTAAATCATATACATAGTACATATAATGTTGTTTCTTCTAGAGACTGTTCAATATAACTTCTTGAATTGATTTAGGATGATTCTCAGTCTAGAGAATTATTGTCCCATATTGTATAAAATAGATCTTTTACCCATATCTGATTCAATTTTGATGAGAATTAACATATCTTTTTGTCTGGTTATGTGTTCGTGTTTATGACTATTGACTTCAAAATTCAGATTTGAAAGTTCATAATTATATTCGACGGAATGGATGAAATTCAATATTTTGACTTTGTAAATGGAGTTTATATCTAACAATTGCCTAGGTATATGAAGATTTCTTGTTGGTTCCAAGTAATCTAGTTTGTATATACATTTAATTACTTTGTTTTGAAGGTTTTTGATTGGCTTTATAATTGATAACCTAGCTGTACCCCAAACTGAAATCAAGTATTGTGTAATTTTGAATAAACCAAGGAAAATTATATACATGTTGAGTATTTCAAAGTGATTTGGTGTCTGATCCTGTAGAGTACTCCGATTACTAGAGATATTTTCTTTCTGATCGATTCAATATGTTTGGACCATGACGAATGTTCATCAAGGAATATCCCAAGGAATTTGATGACTGTGGAATATTTGATGGTTTCATTATTGAATTTGAAATTTCAGTTCACTTGAAAGATATACATGAATGCTGATTTGCTGTAATTTATACTCAATTTATTATAGGACAACCATGAAGATAAAACAATCAAGTCACTTTCAATTGCATTTCTGATTTGTTAATAAATCAATCAATGTCGTCAGCGAACATGTAAACTTTTCCTTTCAATTTGATGTTAACAAACAAGTTGATATATATCAAAAATAAAACAGGGCCTATGATTGACCCTTGTGGTACTCCACATTTAATTTAATTAGCTGTTTTGTCCTAACTACACGGATATTGAAATAATATTCATATTTTTATTTTATAGAAACGAGGAGAGAAAATCCCAAAAAATCTGGAATAATGAAAAACATATGTTCCTCGAGCTGTGTTGTCAAGATTCTGTTACAAAAAACTGACTAATCCTGTATATTTTGGCATGTTTCGTTAGCCATTCCATGGATTGGATATACACTGAATCAAATAGTTTGATACATTGATGAGATCAGCTCTTCAGGAAGAATCTAAAAATGCAATAATATACAGGGTGTTCCATTTGAAATAACAAAGTTGTTAGTTGTTTCTGATAGAAGTGGCAACACTGTACCGATGAAAATATTTTTTTTTATCGCTCTTCGCTCTCCAGATACTTCTAATAGGCCATCCACCGTGCATCACCCTGTATAGAACGTACCTTTGGAATCAAAGTCGAAGATCCTGTCCCTGTAGTCCTTGTACTCGCTGGGATCGATTTGCCTGTCCTTCATGAACTCGTCTTCTTCGCTGCTGGACGAAGATTCTTCTGCCTCTTCTTCGTTCTCGCACTCCCTGCCGTAGTCGTACACTGGCGCCTCGTCATCGGAACAACTGTCTTCCTCTTCTTCTTCTCGTTCTTCTTCTCGGCCTTCTTCTTGTCTCTGTCGAAGCTGTGCGTTTCTGTTAGCTTCGCCGTTGAAGCTCTCGGTTTCGCTTTCGGAGTCTCCTACCGAAGTGCCGTGACCGCTGTCGCATTGCGTTTGCCTGCGTTGCTCGATGTGTCTGTCTCTAATGGCGATCAGTGCTGAAATAGATATTTACGTAATCAGTTGGGAAACGCGTTGTTTTGTGTAACGATGGGATTTTGCGGGACGAGCGAAGCGAGATCCCGCAACATCACAGAGTTACACAAAATGGCGTTTCCTAACGTGTCACGTACAATATTTTTTCTAATTTTGACGAAACATTTCGCATGAACAAAAATAATGATCAGTTTTACATGAGTTCTGCCGACTCTTGTTGTGTGAAATGAATGAATGAAATGAACATTACATCACCAGTTATGTAAAATTTTACTTTACGCAACTGGTTACGTAAAGTAAGACGTTTCAAAACTTCCGTCAGTTTTGAAAAGTGTCACATTACATGTCAAAATTAGAAAAAGATACATTCATGGAATGCTTCAGTGAACACAAACATCATTGGTATTGTCTGTAGGTTAATCGAGGACGTGGTACATTCATAAATCCAGATTTTTGAGAAGTGAAGAGAAGTGTCAAGACGAATACGAATTTGCTATACATATATTCATTTTTTATGTTGAATACAGGAGCAGATTCGTTCCAGAAACGCCCAAAGCTAAGTGAAAATTCGATATTTTTTCTATATACCTTTATTTCTCGATCTTTTCCGAACCTTTTTCAATAAAAATTGTCGCTGACAAGCTAGTGAATTTTTCTTTCAGGCTCTCTGATAGGAATATTCTTCTAATGCAGTGACATTTTGGGGCAAATCATCTGATTTGTCCTCACTACACGTATATTGGAATAATATTCATATTTTCATTAACCTGCAGACAGTATTCAAAATAATTTCGGTTCGTGAATCTCTGGCCTAAAAGACTTTCCATACCCTGAAATTTGGAATAATACCTCCTCATTGAATCACAATAATTGTTTAGATTAGTAATAATTCCAATTGCTATTACCATTCACGCTATCCATTATTTTTTGCCTTTCCCTGTCAATCCATCGTTGCCTTTCGGCATTTTCCTCTGCCATTCCTCCTCTCTCCCTGAAAATGTCGAATCAGAACATGTGGCTTGAAATCCATTGATTAGGGTAGTGTTCAGAACAAATTGCAAAAATTCCTGAAAATTGCAAAAATTGCAAAAATTCCTGAAAATTGCAAAAATCGCAAAAATTTCTGAAAATTGTAAAAATTGAAAAAATCGCAAAAATTCCTGAAAATTGCAGAAATTCCTGAAAATTGCAAAAAATGCAAAAATTCCTGCGAATTGCGAAAATTCCTGAAAATTGCGGAAATTGCAAAAATTTCTGAAAATTGCAAAAATTTCAAAAATGCCTGAAAATTGCAAAAATTGCAAAAATTCCTGAAAATTGCAAAAATTGCGAGAATGCCTAGAAATTGCAAAAAT